ATATGTTCTGTGATCCGCCCTAAATCCCCTTTGGGATTGGAAGGGTGGAATATAAATGTTGTAAATAAACAAACAAACAAATAAATAAATAATATTCTACCTAATTTCGGAAGAACTTCCTAAAAGTAAGAACTATTCAACAGTGGAATGTGCTGCTTGAGTCTGGTGACATTGCCTTCTTTGGAGGTTTTTAAGCAGAAGCTGGATAGCGACTTGTCAGGAGTGTTTCAAGTATCAAATGTTTTTTTAAAATGTTCACATAAATATAACTGTAGAGTACCATAGTAGTTTTTGAAAAAGTTGAAAAGAAACCAGTCATGTGACTTTGATTTGTGAGTCAGAGCTTTTGTGACAGTAAAGAGCTGGGGTTTCGTCGTGTAAAACATGAATCACAGTCGCCAATTGCAAGAACTGTCCATCCTTTTCTCACACCTATTCCAAGTTGCTCTGGTTCTTTTAGAGTGAAAATTATGAAGCTGACAATGTGACACTAAAAATTAGATGTTTCTTTTGATGTTAATATCGAGACATGGCAGGAGGTACACACTCTTTCTGCTCTTACCTCACAAGGTATTATGGCAATGACAGTATTTATTACTTCTACCCTCAAGCAACACATAGGATACAAGTGTGGTTATCTGATTCTCACCGAGACAAGTTCACATGTATTCTAGGAGCTATAGCTTATTCATATCTCCAAAATATGTCTAAGTGCTTCTTTTCAAGTTCTCTGAAGTTTAAAAGTTTAAAGGGATCACATGTTCTCTGTAGCCCAGTGGTTCTCAAGCTGTTGGTCCCCAGATATTTTGGCCTTCAACTCCCAGAAATCTTAACAGCTGGTAACCTGGCTGGGATTTCTAGGAGTTGCAGGCCAAAACACTTGGGGACCCACAGGTTGAAACCACTGCTCTAGTCCAACACCCTGCCATGCAACAATACACAACTAAAACATTTTTCAAAGTTGGCTATCTAACCTCTGCTAAAAAGACCTTCAGAGAAGAGCAGTCTATTCCACTATTGGACAACTCTTACAGTGAAACAAACAAACAAACAAAAAACAAAACAAATAACCTCCCAATCTTCTTAATATGTTGGGGGTTTATGGGAAAAATAGCTGCACTTGGAAAACAATTCTCAGGGAGGGATAGCATGTAGAAGATGGTTTGTATGATTCCCAGGCACTTAAAAAGAATGCTTGCTTGCTTCTTCTTGAAGCTAAAACCTTATCCTTCAGAAATCATTCCTCTATCATCTTTGCAGTACAGATTCAAATCTCTCTCTCTCTCTCTCTCTCTCTCTCTCTCACACACACACAAAAGATGGCTGACTTTTTGAGCCATTAGAAAACTAAGAATGAAATAATCTGTGGCTATGGTTACTAGTAATTTTAGAGTGATTATTTAGTTGGTTCTGCAGTAGAATGATCTATTTTTTCTTTTTATATATATTATTATTAGGCTAGGCTAATAAAGACACAACCTTAGCCAAACAGATGGTAATTTTGTCAGTGCCGATTGTGTTTAAGTGCAGGCCAAGGTCTTTAGGCACTGCACCCAGTGTGCCGATCACCACTGGGACCACCTTTACTGGTTTGTGCCAGAGTCTTTCCAATTACTACTACTACTACTATTATTATTAATTCTATGAAGGAAAAAGCCCACCTTTGTGTTTCAGCATTGTGAACAATATCATGTGGGAGGACATGGGAGAAGCTCTTTTTGGCTCTGGCATTCCTGTTGTGGAATATACTCCCCTTGGAAGTCCAGTGAACACCACTTGTTTCTTTCTGGCACTAAGTCAAAACTGCCTCTTAGTCTCACTTTTTTGGGCAAAAATCACCTGAAGATCACACTGGGAAAGGATTAAATTTGGGGATGGACCAGGATTGAACAGGGGACTTCTAAGCAGTGTTCAGAGACCACAAAACTGCCTGAATGTTCCTCAGACTAGATCAAAAAAGTGTCAATTAAGGTGTTGCCTCATCAGAATGCAGAAGGCATACTTTCCATGTCTCCTTGTCATGGAACTACTTGCGCGTGCATAGTGCTAAAGGACTCAAGTATGATCTAAGGGGAAGAGGGGAGGAGGGAATGGCAGGGTTGTTCTTAATTTACTCCAACAGATCAATTAGACACTTTTCATGTAATTATAGTAAAATGCACACTTCAACTGTCCAGTCATTAAATGAAGCATTGAAGGCATTTCATGAACTGTTAAATCCCAGTCTCCTTGTTCTCTCACCTCAAAAATCAAGCCGCCAACACATTTAGAGGACATTAAAAATGAGAAATAGCCTGAAGATAAATTAAAAGCTGGTGGAATTAATTGCATTCTCTTTCTGTTCTCTCTTTCTCTCTACTTGCATGAAAGATTACTAAAGGTAGTTTGTTTCAGTGACTCCAGAAGCAAAAAAAGAATGTGAGTTACCAGTTCTCTCCTCCACTCCCAAAAAGCTCAAAAAAAACCTCCAACAAAAATGTCAGAATAAAGAGACAATTAAGAAGAATCAGATACTACATAGTGTGCATGGAAAATTATGTTAATTGGAAGCCTCAATTCACTTTAACTAGCCAGCAGCCAGTCTGGGTCCAATTGGCAATGGACATACAACAAAGATCTTGCTTCTGATCATTACAGCCTCAACTGCTGGTGGGAGGGGACTGGAAATCTCACTGCATCTTAATTAGCAGCTTGGTGCATATAGTGTATGTTGCTGGCTCTTCAGGTGGGCTTGAGAAAGTTGAGCCAAGAGACTTTACATATACACATACATAAATGAAGTATTGGTGAAGGCTTTCATGGCTGGAATCACTGGGTTGTTGTAGGTTTTTTGGGCTACATGGCCATGTTCTAGAAGCATTCTCTCCTGACATTTCACCTGCATCTATGGCAAGGATCCTCAGAGACCTCACAAGTTCTGAGAATGCCTGCTATAGATGTGGGTGAAACATCAGGAGAGAATGCTTCTGGAACATAGCCATACAGACTGGAAAACTCACCGCAACCCAGTAATTCCAGCCATGAAAGACTTTGACGTCATATATTAAAGTGTGCAAGCCTGTGGTTCAGGACTTCCAGTCCCTTTAGATTCTAATCTGCAAGGCAGGGAGAAAAATGCATTTAGTTCCATGGTCATTTAATGTCTTCTAGCATTACAGGAGAAGGAAAGACCCCTTCACCCTCTCCTTAAGGTAAAGGTAAAGGTAGTCCCCTGACATTAAGTCCAGTCATGTCTGACTCTGGGGTGTGGTGCTCATCTCCATTTCTAAGCCGAAGAGCCAGCATTGTCCATAGACACCTCCAAGGTCATGTGGCCGGCATGACTGCATAGAGCGCCGTTACCTTCCCGCCGGAGTGGTACCTATTGATCTACTCACATTTGCATGTTTTCGAACTGCTAGGTTGGCAGAAGCTAGGGCTGACAGCGGAAGCTCACGCCGCTCCCCGGAATCGAACCTGCGACCTTTCGATCAACAAGCTCAGCAGCTCAGTGCTTTAACCCACTGAGCCACCGGGGGCTCCTCTCCTTACTTCCTACCAAATATACCTGTGGCGGTGGTGGGATAGAGAGAATATCAACTTCTCCCTCTTTTCTTACTTCTCCAAGTACGAAATGGCTGCTGAATCTCATTTGGGACTGGTATCTTTTAAATATAATAATATGGGAATGCAAAGAGCTTTGTCAAACCTGGCAACATCCTAAAGTGAAATTTATCTCAATTAATCATTTCCGTGGTACCCAGCATATGAAAAATTAATTTTGACCAATGAACTGGAAAAAGAAACAGAATGGAAACACAGTTTCAGCTGGCAACTGTGCATATGCATATATCTTTTTAGTAAAGATAAAACTATCAAAATTCCTGGCACATGTATACAGTCAGCTGTGGTTCAGTGGAGAACCTGGCAGTTTTGCAACAAAAAAGATGCATGTCTCTTTCACATTACACAAGTATGGCAATCTGAATCCACTTTAACTGCTATGGCTATTGAATCCTACGATTTCTGAGCTATTTAGGGTTCCCTACCAGAGAAACATAATGCCTTCCCAAACTACAAACCCCAGGATTCTGTAGGATACCTCTGTGGCAATCAAAGGGGTATCAGGATAATACATATCTTCAACATTTCAAATATTTAAATATGACCATCATGTCTCCTCCTAACCTTCTCTTCTCCATGTTAGACATATGCAGATTATGGCTTCCAGACCTCTGTCCATTTTGGTTGCCATTCTCTGGACATGCTCAATATCTTTGTCCATATCTTTTTTGAATCAGTGATCAGAGCCAGCAATGGGCACAGTATTCCAGGTTAGATCTGACTAAAGAAGAATGGACTATTATGTCCCTCAATCTAGGCCAGTGGATCTCAACCTTTGGGTCCCCAGATGTTTTGGCCTTCAGCTCCCAGAAATTCTAGCAGCTGGTAAACTGGCCGGGATTTCTGGGAGTTGTAGGCCAAAACACCTGAGGACCCATAGGTTGAGAACCACTGATCTAGACATTATACTCCCATTGATGTAGCCTAGAATCATGCTGGCTATTTAAGCTGTTGCTGCATACTGTTGATTCGTGGTCATGTATCCACATGATGTATCTATCTACTGTATATGGTGACCATTTTGGGAGGGAAATTCTTGGAGCATTAGTGCAGAACATTAATTTTTCCCAGTAATGTTGTGGATACTTGAATAGGTACAACAGAATCAACTATAGATGAGCAGAAGCTGTTAGCAGGCTTAGTGGTACCAAATCAAATGTCACAGAAATACAGCAAAGAAAACTCACTTGAAAAAAGAAAACCTAAGATTTCAAAACAGAACAGAGAGGACCGAACATGCTCCCTAGCCAAAGAACACAGAGTTTATTTCAGATGTGCATATTTTGATGGCTGAATGGAATATATGGGAAAGAACATGACTAGTTTGAACCTTGAATAGAAGTTTTCAATGCTGAAATAATTTTCAGATCCAACTTGTAAAAGCATAATTTACATACCAGTGAGCTGATCATTGGGCCAAGAACCCAAGTCACAGGCCTTGCAGGTGTATTCATCAAAAACAAATTCATTTTCTTTGCAAGGTGTGCAAGTCCAACAGCAACTGACTTCCCCTTTGCGGATTACCTAAAAAGAATGGATGGAAACATTTCAGTAGAGTTCACTGTTTATTTCATACACTTTTTGCATTGGATATCTCTATCTATCTTTCTGTCAGTCTATCTATCTATGTGTGTTTATATTTTGAGCCAAATGGATCCTTAAACAAATTGACCAAACACATCTCCTTCTAGCTAAAACTTACTACACATTTTCAAATTAGTTTCCAATGTTTTTTAAGACTGTGGTGGATACCAGCCTCTTTCCCTATATCAAAAAAAATCTCAACATTAATAACACTTATTATAAACATTGCTCCATGACGGCTTTGAAATTATGGCCAAAATCTTTCATTCTGATCTACGTTTTATAACTATAAGTACTTAGCTACATAGCAGAGACACTACAAATCATTGTCAGTAAATTGTGGTGATGCATAATGGGACATTGGCAAGAGTGTCAGTGTCTGATTCCCAATGGGTTGAATGCACAAGGGACCCATGTGCATCAGACCAAATGTACATTGCTCTCAATATGCATACATCCCTTTGTGCATTAGTTCCAATGCATATTGGTCTCCTTGCCAGCTCCTCTATTTAGGAATGTAATAGCAGCTCTTTACTAGATATGGATGTTATAGAATTGCCCATTGCTAATCCTGGCAGATGTAAGTCCGCCAACAAAGACCCTATTCCCCAACACATATTTACCTGTAATTGTAAATAATTATTTTTGAACAAGTGGCTTTCAAGATCTGAATATAATGATGCCTTCAAAACTTAGTCATTGCAGAGTGCTCAGGCTGGACACGACTAGCACAACAAAGTTCCAATAACATTTATATGTTATATATATTTACCTTGATCTCTCCTTTCTCACAAGGTTCACTGCAGACAGATCTGATGATGGTAACCTTCTTTGACCAGATTTCATCATCATCCATTTTTAGTTCACCATTGTCCCAACTCCCAACATTAATATAGTCAAAGTAATCCTTGCCCATTTTCTTAAAATTCATAATCTCATACCTTCAAACAAAAAGAAAAATCATTAGTCTGAACTCCATTCATAGTTAAGAGCAACCTATTCAACATAAAAATGTTCAATGCACCAAGTATGTTGACAGATAACAGGCTTCAGTGCTAAACATATTTGAAAATGAACTGGACATTTGGTTGCCAAATTCTCAGCTACCCTAGATTTTGAGAAGAGAAGGTTAGAGCCAATTGAAATCCAATTGTTAATTGTTATTAGAATACATTCCTTGAAACAGAGAAACCTGCAAATTACTGATTCACCAGGTTCCTGTGGATTCAAGGGGTCTATCGTAGCTAGCTAGAACTCACAACTGGATTTATACTCAGTCTTAATACAAGTATCTTAGTACAGTCCGCACAGCTTATTTGCCAGGATTAGGAGCACAAGACTTCAATGAAAATCTAAAACTGCTTGAGAGAGTAACTCCTTTGGAATCTCTAGATCCTCTAGCATGACTCTATGGTGAACTTCCACTGGAAGCTGATCACACAACCATATTGGAAGACCTCGAGATTCTCAGAGAGATGTTTTCCCTAAGGGTCTCTTCTAAACAAAACTTGCCAAGAAACCCCTGTGATAGGTTCACTTTAGGGTTGCCATAGCTCATAAATTTATTTATCGTGTCATCAGCAACCATTGTATTACAATTCTAACAGAGCAAAACAAACACACAGATTAAAAAGAAAAAGGGAAAAAAACACACAGATTTTGCAAATTTGGTATTTGGTTAAATGTCCTTTGACCAGTATCTGGCCACTTGGAGTGCCTCTGGGGTTGCCGCAAGAAGGTCCTCCATTGTGCATGTGGCAGGGCTCAGGGTGCATTGCAGCAGGTGGTCAGTGGTTTGTTCTTCTCCGCACTCGCATGCCGAGGATTCCACCCTGTAGCCCCATTTCTTAAGATTGGCTCTGCATCTCGTGGTGCCAGAGCGCAGTCTGTTCAGCGCCTTCCAAGTCGCCCAGTCTTCTGAGTGTCCAGGGGGGAGTCTCTCATCTGGTATCACCCATGAATTGAGGTGCTGGGTTTGGGCCTGCCACTTTTGGACTCTCGCTTGCTGGGGTGTTCCAGCGAGTGTCTCTGTCTTTGTGTCTTTGTGCCTTCACGCTCATAAATGACTTGAAGGCACAAAACAATTCTAACAACAACAATAATATTCAGCACAATTCTTTAAATAGTTGGATTAAAACCCAAAGGAGATTCCCCACCACACCGAACCTGGAGTCAGCAATTGTCACTGTAATGGACTGATCACAATTTAAATAGAATAGGTTATGTCACAACTACACATAACACACATACACTAATGGCGAAAGAACACAAAACTGAATGGATAAAATGTCTAGAATGGCTCTGCATGTGTGTTGAAAAACCTGAATGGTACTGTTTTCAGACAGAACCTGGGTCTGAGAGGGACATTGCAAAATTATAGTAGTCTTAATAAAATGACTTAATAAAATTTTATTTAAAAGCACCAGATAATTCAGTGTATGCTTCCTTGTGGTATGTATGTGTGCATGTGTGTAAAATTATTCATTCATACCCAGACAGACAGATGACAGAAATATTAGTGTATACATGTGTACAGAGATGGATCTATTCCTTTCTTTTCCTTCCTCCCTCCCCCCCCCCCCCGCGCACACACTCAGAGATATGCAAATGAAATAATGTGATCTGAAAATATAATTTTCCAGTTGTGCATAATACAATCAAGGTGAAACCTTCTTCTGGGCATTTAAGGGGAGAGAAAGACAGACAGAGTCGAGGAGAGAATTTGCTTGGCTGACCGCCAAGGAAGAAGCTTAAGGCCTTTGATGTCCTCTTTTGCAACAATCGGAAGCATTTTCTGACAGAATTGCTCCATCCGCCCGCTCCTTCATCATTCAGAATCCAAAGCACAGAATGATAAATGAGGTTTTTGAAACCATCCACTTTGTAGAATTATAGCAGTTTGACACCCCTTTATGTAGCCATTCTGCCCTTTGTAGTTTGTTGTGACACCACAGCTCTCTGACAGAGAAATGTAAATATTCTACAAAACAACAAATCCCCAAAACCTGGTGTTTTAATAATTGGTATCTATGTTAAAGAGACTTTGGGCTGAATCCTAAGGGATAGTCCCATTTAGAATATACCCAATGAGTAAATGATTTAATCATGAGTCAACATGAAGGTAAATTGAATTGATTAACTGAGTCTTCTCTCATTGGAACTATCCATAGATTAAGGCCATAGTGCTGAGATCCAAATAGATAAATACAGAATAAACCTTCTAAAATTCAAAAAGTCCAATTCATTGGGTCTACCATAAAGTCTGGACCCAACTTATAAACACCAATGGCCAAGATTAAGCCACCCAGTCATTCAGAAGTTCAGGCAATTTAGAGTTATAAATATTTACTGTACCGTCCTGGTGAATCTCCATTCTCATCAAAAGAGATCATGTCCCCAGAAACCCCAGTGAAGTTTGACTTCATAAGAGCCTCCAGAAGCTTCCGTCCATCGATTGGTTTCATAGCATCACAAAGACCTGCGTAGCCTGGGCACAGTGTCGTCTGCATATTGTGGAGGCCATATGCCATGGAATATATGGCATTAATCACAAAGCCCATTTTTGAATCTTGCACATGTTGTGTTTCTAAAGTCAGATTACCTGTTAGGAGAAAGCAAATATTGCCATGGTCAGTGTTTTCAAACCAAGATTCTAAGATCCCACATTGTGTTTGAATAAATATACATTCATATAGATCAGTGGTACTCAACTTGTGAGTCCCCAGATGTTTTGGCCTTCACCTCCCAGAAATCCTAACAGTTGGTAAACTGGCTGGGATTTCTGGGAGTTGTAGGCTAAAACACCTAGGGACCCACAAGTTGAGAACCACTGATATAGATAGACAATCATCACTCTACACCAATGTTCTCAACCTGTGGGTCCCCAGATGTTTTGGCCTTCAACTCTCAGAAATTCTAACAGCTGTTAAACTGGCTGGATTCTCTGTGAGTTGTAGGCCAAAACACCTGGCGAGCCACAGGTTGAGAACCACTGCTCTACACCATCATTCCAATGAATATCAACATTGGGCAACCAACTACATATCTGTTGTTGTACTTGAGTGTTGTCCTACTGTCCAATGGAGAATGCACAATGGCTCTTTCAGTAATCCTATTGAGTCCCATTTGAAACAAAGGAAAGTTATTAATGAAATCAATAATAAATAAGGAGATTGACCAATAGTTAAGTATAATTCAAGAATGCACAACTGCATGGGAAATGGCTACTTTTGCAAAACTTGTTTCTGAAACCATGAATTGTTGCACCAATGGTCAGAAAAGTACAACTGCATATACATTAATATGAAGTCCTTTGCAATAACTTCAATGTGGTATTTATTATAATTTCCTGTTCTTCCAAACTTTGCAAACTATTTAAAACATATTCAGACAATGCTGTAGGTTCTCTTTAACACTATAGTTACCAACCTTCCCTCTTCAATCAGGTCAACAACAAAGCCCCATTCTTTTCACAGAAGTCATCCCACGGGTTTCCTAGATAAAGTGGCTGCCAACCAAGTCACTAGCATCTCAACAAAGATGTTAGATTAAAAGAACAGTAGGAAGAAAATGTTCCCTGGCGTATTAGCTGTGAAGAACCATGAAATTTCTCTGCCACCAAATATATTACCATGACGATGAAATATTGTGAGATTGCGGTGGTGGCATGCCAACATTCAAAAACATGTGTAGCTTCAAGCCTGGCTGTGTGATGGCTGGAAAGAGTTGCGCAGAAAAAGCTTTCTGTTGAAAGCAGTAGGAGCTCTTGAGTATACAAGGACCTTCGAAGGGACAATGGCCATTATAAGTCATTCCTATTGCAGCACACTTCTGCTGCAAGTTACTGAATAGTGTTCAGCTGGAAACTGTTGTTCTGTGTTTTGCCAAATAAACTATTCATGTCTCTCAGTTGAAAGGGGGGGGGATCACTTTAACTCTGCTTCAGTCTATGTAGCTTTCCCATTTGCTCTATTTTTTTTTTACCTGGGTGGGCCAGTTTCTTGAGAGGTCACTGTTCCTACTTCTGTCTTCTGCAAGTATACTTTCTTATATTTCCCCCCAAAATGGATTCTTAGAACTGCTGTATGCATGCATGTATATACATATAATAAAATAAAAGGACATAAAGATATAAACATATGATACCTACTTATTTCATCTGGACTACAGCTACATCTATTTTTTTTACCTCTACTAATTAAATTACACTATCAAATTAAACACACAGACCTATCAAAAGTTGACTCCCAGGTTTCTTACTAAAGGCATAAATAGTATACCTATTTATATTTAACTTGTGAATGTTAACCTGCATTTTATCAGTACATTGTAATCTGCAATTTTTTTGTGTGCATTTGTTATATGTATTCTAATTGTGTCTTGTTCTACTTCACTATTTTAACTATGTTGTACCCAGCCTTGAGCCATAATGAGAGGCTGGTAATAAGTAAGTAAGTAAGTAAGTAAGTGAGTAAGTAATTATTAATAATAATGATAACAGAAAGAACAATTATTCAAATTATTATTAAATTATAACAATTATCCTATGAGCCTACTAGAACTTTAAGATCATCTGGGGAGGCCCTGCTCTTGGTCCCACCTTCTTTGCAAGTGAGATTGGGACAAGGCCTTCTCAGTGGTGAGTCCTCCCCAGCGACATCAGGCAGAATGCATACCTTCTGGTTTTCAGAAAAAAAGCTAAGACTTGGCTTTGCACACAAGTGTTTGAAAAATAAGTTACTACAGGCTTTGACATGTTCTGAATTAAGGATTATGAGCAAGGTTCTCGGATGAACAGAACCATGCACCTTATATGTTTTTAATTTGTATACAGTTTTATGTGTTTTATTGATTAACTGCTAGTTGTTTTAATGTGGGATATGTTTTACTGTTTATTGTTGGTTTTTACTGGCATTGAATTCTTGCCAGAGCTGTAAGCTGCCTTGAGTCCCTTTGGGTGAGAAAGATAGGGTAAAAATGAAGTAAAGAAATAATTAAAACATTCTTATTAGCATAGTTATCTAATACACCTATAAGATTTTTATTAATATAAAATAAAACTAATGTTCAATGCCTGCAGATGTAATCTTCTCACAATTTCCTTGTATAAATTCCAAAAAGGGCTTTCACTCTATTAAAAAAACAGAATTTTCAATCAATGGAATCTCACTTGCTGCAGTGCAATTAATTAATTTTCTTACTAGTATAATAAGTATGCCATCTCAATACCAGTTCTAGTGTAAAGCAATTATTTTTATTTGAATATCTTCTGAATAACACTATGAATTTATATCCAAAATGTCTTTGCTTTTTCACAAGACCCCCTACAAATGTTCTTAGCCTCTTTATACATTTTAGTTAATTTTCTCCCTTTTTTGCTATTGTCTTCCACCTAACAAAGCATTATTAATTATCATTTCTTATGATATGGCCAAAGCATGACAGCTTCAGCTTATTCAACTTGGTTTCTAGGAGAATCCAGGACAGGTGTGTTCAAAGTCACATTTATGTTTAGCAGTCCATGGTCTACCCAAAATCTTATAAGCATTGGTATACCTCACCAGGCTCAACAGCTCCCAAAGCACCATTGATGGCAACATTGTCCTAACTTATCTTCCTTAGCAGTTTTGTAAGGCATGGACATGTATTCCTCTAAAATGTTTACATGAGCTCTGGAGCTCACTACATGAACCAAGCACTATGAACCATTATAGGTTGCTGTCACATTTTTTTTCAATCCCAAAGTTTATAGGGTTCCTTGAGTAGGATGAAACCGTATATGCCACCCATGACTGATATCTTGTTAGTGACTTAGAAAAGCATTAAGTCCAGTGTATATGTGTGTGGTTCACATTTTGAGTGTACACAGAATTTGTAATCCTCTACAACTGTGCAATGACCAAGTTGTTTCCCACCTTATAAGCTGATGGAGTCTCATCCTCTGCTGGAAGGCAGAGAGTGGGGGGCATTAATAATATATGTTCCTATATTAGGATTTATAGCAATGGCATAATTCAACAGAACCCAGAGCATGTCCAGCTATAGCAGTGGTTCCCAATCTTTTTCTTTTTGACCAGGGCCCACTTTGACCAGGACCCACTTTGACCAGGGCTCACTCTCCAACATTAGTACCATAAAGGGTGGGGCTGGTTAACTCTGTGGAAAGGAGGGGAAATAAAATAAATAAAACAAAATAAATAAAGAGGAAGGAAGTTCGCAGACTGGATTTTCACGGTCCACTACTTGGCCACAGCCCACAGGTTGAGAATCACTGAGCTATAGGAACATAGCTAGGCACTGCTCCACCACCTGCCTCTCCACCGGCCAGCTCTACACCGGCCAGCAAATGGCTATTTTGGAGGCATGGGGCAACTTAAAAAATGGGTTTGGGGCAGAATGAAGAGGAGATACAGATTGCAGTTCTATTGGATGCATCTACAGATCCAAAATCTAGGCTCATCTCTCTTTATAATGTAACAAAAAGCTGAGAACACAGTTTCATTTATAGATACATTTTCTAAAATAGCTTGAAGAAGTAAAGCATCCATTAATTAAAAAAACCTGCAATTCGGTATTGTACCCTCCTACAACTGCCTCATCATGCCTATTTATTGCTTCAATTCTTGTATATTGGTTTATATTGGTATATTCCTATATTGGTTTCAAATTATTTATTTGAAATTCTGTTTTGTTTGTCCCTGCAATGTTTGAGATGCATTAATTGCTAGTAATAACCCATTGTGCATGGGCTCATTTATCATCCAAGACCTCATAATCCCCTATTGGGTCTGGCTTTATCCTTGCTTTGCTGTTACTTTGCACTTTTGGCAATTCTTTGGCAATTAGCCTTGTCAAATGTTGGCCACCTCTGCTATTTCTCTGCCACCTCCAATGAGTTTAATTCTCCCTATACAGCTCTGTACCATACAAGCAGTTGCTAAGCAACCCCAAGTGCATTCTCTTTCCCCGGCTCTTTCTGAGTATGGACTAAAATATCATTGTGGTGTATCACAATGTAGGATGATGGAAATGGGACAAGACTCAGAGCATGTTTGGGGAGAAGGCATCTCCAGGGTCAGTTCTCTTAGGAGGTGAAGTGAATCCCTGGCAGTGGATTGGATGGGGAAATGGATCTCAGCCCTATCAACTTGACTGCTTGGCATCTCTTTGCAGGAATGAATGCTCTGGAGTGTTCCACCATTTCTGCTTTCCTTTCACTGGACATCATCCACCACCACTGGGTGTCACTATGGTTTGGTTTGCACAGACAGCAGAACAAGAAAATACTGAGGCAACAGGAAGGTTAAGATAGCTGAAAAGAGTGAACTATTTTAGACTACAGGGAAAAGTGTGAAGCTGGCCAAATAGTTGGAAGCATTCAGTAGCAAAGATGAAGAGCACAGCTTCATAAAAATACTGCATATACTAATGTATAAGTCTACAAATATTAGTTTTGACCCCAAAAACCTGGTTGCCATCTTCACAGGTCAATGTAAGTATCATGCCTTAACTCTTAGCCATAAAGGAACAATTTCCTTCTCTAAGTAGAGTGGCAAAACACAAGAGATTAGTACATTGTGGGAGAATCATAGAATCATAGTT